TACTAATTTCCATTCGAATAATCATAATCATCAAATTTGCCGTCAAAGTTCCAGAAAATCTGAGACCGACAGGAAAGGGCAAAATGAAGGATAAGACAATGACAAGAAAAACTATCGGTTTCTGTTATCTTCCTAGTTCCTGCAGCAAATGACAAGTCAGGGTTTGCATCAATTTACTTTTGATTTCATTTTTCAATTTTCTTATTTTTTCTTGTCTTTTGGACCTCCTTGCAGAGGCAAAAGAAAGACTCATCTTCTTGAATCCAATAGTAGCAGTAGATAGAGAGGATGAGATTCCGAGTAAGGTAAAAACGAAAATGTTCCGTTACGGGTGCATACGAGACATACTGGGCAAACAAACAAAACTAACATTGTTTCTGCTTGGCCCAGCTGTTGCAGCAAAATACTCCGTTTGGTTACTTCAAAGTTTTCCTTCATACGGTTACCATTCAAGGGCCGTCCTACCCGACCTTCCCGTCACCAATAACCACGAGTTCAGCCAACCGGGAAAGAGCAAGGGGCGAAACGAAAATCCCATCCCATGCCATTTCCGGGTGCAGGGCAAAAAGAGGGTAAATTAAAAAAGAAATAAACAAACACAATCTCGAGTCCTAGACGCGATGACACTGCATGGTTAGATTATGATACGATGCTTCCAACAGGGTTTAATCAATGGATCATCGTGAGACTCCATTCGAGAGTAATAACGTCGTAGTATTAATCGTCTCCGTGGTCAGAAGTCCCGACGGGAAATGTTACGGGGAAAGGAAGAGAAAAGTCAGTACGAATTGAAAGAGAGGTACCTTTTTTTTTTCCCTTTCCCTTCTTTCCCTTCCATCTTTTTTCCATTGGGAACTCAAAGGTGGTTATTGTCAAGCCATCATGACTCAAAATTACACTTTTCAATACAGCATCGTTACCACATCTCATCGCATTCACATCCAGAACATCAGTAACGACGCTATTCCCAAACCCAGAGGTCATTATGTCATCAGGATTAGTATTTCCTATCGATCATTTGTTGTTATCAGCAGTGATGATGATGATGGGCAATACTAACTATTATCTTCTGCAGACGCACTCACTGGTCATGTCCCACGACCCGCTTAATTCCAATTATGAATTTATTTAAAATTATTTATTTTATTTTATTTTATTTTATTTATTTCTTCTTTTCCTGGTTTTCGATTCTGATTAGTATTATTATTTATCTAATGTAACTAGAAACCCACACTAGCTCACCCAAAAAAATACTAACCCGGAGTCGATCGTTCTTGCTTCCCACCAAAGACCAAGCGCGTATGACGACTGGGCGTCGAGAAGAGACTCCACTCCACCTTCATTAGCCTCGCTCCAATCCGCATCTTCGTGAACGTTGATTGAGTTTCGTCCCGTCCTTGTCTCGTGGGGAGCAAAAGGTCTCCATTTACGAGCGTCATTTCCTGTGAGTGGTCTGTTGGCCGTGAGAGTCTCCGCCAACTAGTCAATCGCCCTCTCCATTTGGTTGCTTCTCGATTATTGTGATGGGATCATGGATTATTATTCTGGTCTTGCCATTGAGTAGCTCTTCTCGGTTCCCACCACCTATCATTAGTCCCGTTTGGTGTATAAGACTAGGAGCTATAATCAGCTTGAACTACCTGAGAATAGATTAGAGTATAGCTTCAGACCTCCGTAGCATTTGCCTCACACCTGGGTTGCAATCGATGATTTCATCGGCGTTGATCTTGTGAAGTCATAGCCATCATCATATCTTACCTATCTACATTGCTATGAGGTCCATCCGATTTGGATGCTCTCCTGCACCCTGAACGGCGGGGGGGGGGAAGATAACCACGTTGCGTTGCGACATTTTTCCATGGGCTTGACAGGCTGGGCTGTATGCATGCATGCATGATAATGACCAATGGCCCTCCTGCAAACCAAGGGTGTAGAAAAAAGCGCTTGCTCATGCATGATCATGCCCGCCGATCGCCCGTGGCTGGTCCTTTCTCCGATATGATCCTGTACTGAGGTCCGCATCATGACAGGTGAATGAGCGATATGACTATGAAAAGGCAAAAAGCCTCGCGCTAACTAGAGCGTCATCATGCCGCAAAAACGGAAACTCCAGATTAGGATAGATTCAGGTTGGAAAGTCGATGTATCCAATTAATGAATGTAATTGATTTGACAACACAAGGGTGCATTGGAGTGCCTTTAATGCCCATGCTCTCTGCTATGCATGCATGGGCTTTGACACGATCATCGTCACCACTGCCAACCACCGTTGTCTATCGTCCACGTCGTGGTTGCCGTTGGTTGCCCATCCCCCAGATCGGCTGACATCTCGCATAGGTCTGATAGACCAACCTCTTTTTTTCTTCAATATAGTTTCCTAGACCCGGTTTATTCCCTCACTGTCGCTCGCTATTATCCATGATACTACAGGGAAATTGCCGGTTCGGGATCTCCTCCACACTTTTAGCTCCTCCCACAGAAGGCTTGTCTGTATACGAGAGCGAGTAAAAGTACGGTAGTATAGAATATACGCCTGCCAAGGCTGTTCCTCCACATTCTGATTTAGTTTATTTATTTGCTTTTTGGTATGGGGGTAAGGCCCTCTGTAGTCTGTAGTACGTACAAAACCCGCTCTTGCGGGATTCGGTGAGAAAATCTGGAGTAGATAGACACAAAAACCCCATACAATGCTGCAGCAGAAGAACGACGAGGTCCATGTCGGGATATTTCGAAGCTTCGGAGGGTCAATCGGGGCCAGTCTGGACCCCCATACCGCCACCTTCCTTATTCAAAAAATAAAATTAAATTAAAGATTAAAAAAAAAAAAAAAAAAAAAAAAACCAAAAAAAGATAGATAGAGGATCTCCCGCTACCAACGTTCTTTCAAATCGACTAGACTTGGAGACTGTTGCGGAGTATCTACCGTTCTTCATCATAAAAAAGACCTCAGACCTCAGACCTCAGACCTTTAGACCACCCATCCCCATGGAGTCTAGTAAGACTACGGAGTACAATGGTTATGGTATCCTCAGCGACAGGAGATTTCGGGGAGAAGGATGACCTGCATCATCCCTACTCCATACCATATCTACGGGGTTCACGATCCCAGTTGTCTCAGTCACATGTGCGACTCGGGGGTTTGAGTAGAAGATGCCATGTGGAACATGGTAAATCCACCATTGGGAAAGAAAGGAATGCCGTTCTCTTTGTTCATCAAAGCTGTACGGTATGCTTGATGGTATGTTTACCTCGCCGACGGATGTCCTGTTCGCAGATCGAATGCTATCTGTTCCTATTCCAGTTAAATCTTTCGCGATAGTATAGACTACTGAATGAGGATAAGTACATAGCAGCAGCAGGTTAGCGGGCGCTTTCCGCGGCTGATGGGGACCGGTACGGCTACGAATGTCGCTAGTAGATACGCTTGCCCGTTTAGTACCCGCTCATCTTGAGTCTAGTGGTTACTGCTTATTGAATTCCGCTTTACTCCTAGCTCTGCAACAGATAACAAGGGAACCGTCATAAAAATAGCATAAAGATGATTTCACGAAGTACGGAGTAAGTACGTACATACTCGGGTTCTTGTCCCGATAAGCAGAGAAATAACGGGTTCTGAACGCGTCGTTACAAACGAGCCGAGGGAATTCCCCAGCCCCCTCCATTCCCCATTCCCTCGATAATATTACAAAGGTACGACTTGAAACATGAGTAGCTCTAACAGAATTAGTTCATAGTCCATACAGCTAGATCAAAAGCACCATCCGCCTACAGTCCCGTGCGCGCAACAAGAACAAGTTACTACTGTGCAATGATTACTTTACGTAGTTAATCGAACTCCGGGGGATTCTCACCGTTTGCCGACGCGGTTTATTTTACCTCAGTTTTGAGTGATGGGGTGTAACCGGCGGACGTCAGCCAAGAGTTCCTCTCTCGCTTTTTGATTCCCTCTCCATTCCTTTTGGTCTTGGTTGTTGTACTTACTGACCATTAATATTACATAACAATACCAGCTTACCTCATCGGTTATTCCTCTTCCTTGGAGGAAATGGAAACCCTTAGTGCAGAGCCCTAATCGATTACCTTATGAAAAGCATAGAATTTTCTACACGATGACAGTTGGCAGGGCTGAACCCAATTGCTCTAAGATGAGAATTACACTCATAGGGTAAATTCTATCCTAATAATTGTTGGTTATACCAGTGGGGGTTTTGTGGTGGAAAGAAACATACAAGATTTAGTCAAGGAATCGACTGGTGTTGGTAACAAAAGAACCCCACAACAGGACCCGTGGTTGAGCTCCTTCTATTGAGACTCAATTCTATGGCTTCGGGAATTCCTGACCCTGACCCAGTACCGTTGATAATAAATCAGGTGGATGTGATTGAGAGATGTGAAAAGTGGGTGGGTAAAGTTTTGAAATTTTTTTTTTTTGTCTTTTCTTTGACAGTGTCATCGACGTGTAGAATTTCCATGGTTTGGCTGTAACGGGTGTCAGTCAAAACCTCATCCAGACAAAGAATTTTCAACCCTCCGACGGCAAAGAGGCAAAACCAGTCTCGTTCTAGAAAATCGAAGAATAAGCCAAGAATCTACCTTACTGACTGACGTCGCGGACAGCAAATACCTACATGGACAGATCTTCGACTACGTAAATGCCTCATGCCATGGACTGGAGATGGTTGTCGATAAGTGAGTGATATCAGTAGTCAACTTTTCGATATGCATTAGAACAACACACTATTATCCCGCAACGGGTCCCAGCCAACCAACAGTGAGGCTGTCGACTTAAACGGGCGAACGAAGTGGAAATAATCGCCACCGGATTGGGGACGCCGCAGCTCTGATGGGGGTGTGGCTCCATCCGTGACTCGCCCGACCGCTTTCGATGCCCGTTCTCGACGTTTTCTAGAAAACTGGATCGAATGGAACGGTGCGTGTTAGGTGCATTCTTCGTCCAAGAAGCTGGGATTCGCCTTTGGGTCGCATTCTAGTCGGATGTCGGCAATCTGAGCGTATCTGAGTCTTTTTGTGCGTGATGTTGTTTGGTTGCATTGTTGTTTGGTGGATGGTGTGGACATGTGAGATGCAATTTTCTATTTTATTTGTCTTCAAATGGTTTACTCTAGAATGTTACGTCATAATCGGCAGTCCGAGGAGATGCTTTTTTGTTTTCCACACACACGCGCACACACACGGTCGGGTAAATTGGTCGGGATTCAAGAGAACCACTGGCAATTGGACTCAATTAATTGGGATTTCCCTCTTTGGGACCTGAGGAACAGCTTTCCCTGTCGGGCTAGACCGTGCGGTCTCGTTACGTAAGTTTCGACAGATGAGTAAGCCCCTACCGCTTTGGGTAAGTACCTCTCATTTCCCTAAGAGAGTATCCACGGTGCCTCTCACTATCGACCGACTGACTAGAGCCGCGTACACTCACACCACACACAAACACACACACACACACAGATAGTTTCTGAACGAGGAAATTATTAGATTCTCCTCATCATGTCCCGGAAGATGTTGCCGGTCTCGCCTTATCTACGTGCATGGTGCTAGTTGTGCGACGGCGCTAAGGACAATTGTCCGCCCGGATATTACTTTGACATTGTGGAATATATTTCCTGATGTCCTTAAATCTTCAACTACGACGTACCTATACCAAAATGTCGACAGATAGCACCGTCATGCGCGAGAGAATGGCGCTATCTCAAATGGATCACCGAGGTCTTCCGTGGTTCTGAATGAAACATAGCTAACGAGCTGTACCTACAGTAGCACCTCTTTTAGCCCGCTCACTAACCGCTAGTAACAGAAACGGGGAAATTACTTCCCACTCACCGATGCTAAATTGCAAATAATCCCCCCAATCCCCACCGGCGATCGCCCGTCGCCAAGCTGTCTCATCGAGGATCGTGGTGAGGGATTTTCTTCCAGTACGGTCGTATTATCGTCGCTTCCCGAGGTTGCTCCATGGTTTGGGTGTGGTCTTGTTCGCCGTCTTGGACCTCTTATATTTTCTAGATACAGAATTGATCTCGGTTGTGCTTGCCAAGAGCCAAGACATTGTCCATCGGGACAGCCATTGGGAAGGGGAATCAATTATTGTCTATCTATACATAAATCACGGGGATTCCGTTCATGTCACACCTGCAGGACTGCACAAGAATACGACATCGGCTTGCCCCAGATGGGGGCGTTTGCTCATCGAGATCCCATTTGCAGTTTAGACGGAGGCACATCATCTCTTAGCGAAATCCTTCCCACCTTTCCTTTCCTGTACAAGACGGCTGCGCTCAGACGAAGCTACTAACGTGTCCTGCTACTATGAGAGATTTTCCCCCATTATTAGGCCCTTTTCTCTCTACGGTGCCACGGTGGCAGCGGGCAACGCCAGCGTGACGCCAATCGGCTTGTTCAATTATATTACTCCATGGAAATCATAGATAATCGGTCATAAGATGATAAGAGCACCGTGCAGCTACCAATTGCCAAATCAAAAGGGGAAACACAGTGGTCGTCTCGGGGTAAGGCCGAGCCCCGACTCGGAGATGATCTGACCATCAGTTGCCTCCAACCCATAGCTCGCTGCCCCCATTGTCCCTGCGTCATATTGTGCGTGATTGTCATTCATAACCATTATTTAGGATTCTGCATCGGCTACACGCGGTCTCGTCGCCGCTCTAAGGGACTTCTTCTACGAGTAGTGCGAACGGTTATCTCGGCGTGCAACATGACGACCGGAAATTAAATTCTAGCATTGAGAAATCAACGCAATTCTTTTTTCTTTCCAGGCCCTAATCTCCATGAAAATTTCAATAATTTATGAGAGGTTTCCATAAACCGGGTGCATCTGACATGACATCGGGATATTTCACTCCTCGGCAAGGTCCTGGTCTCGGCCCAGCCCCCAAACTCGCCGCCATCGGCGTCGCGGGAATCGGCACGCGATGGCCGCCTTCCCTTCCCTATCACAATCATCCTATTTGGCGCTGATTTTTCTCAAGACGTTTTCTAGCGTTTCTACCTAACTGTCTATCCCTGGATATGATCACGCGACTCCGTCGATGTTCCATGGTTGGAGCAGTCGGTCAGCGACTAAGAACTTTCGTTCGGCGGTTGACGCCGCCGCGACCCAAGATTAAAAATCTGTCAAGGCAAGATGCTCCATGAGACAAGTCTCTACCGACCATGTTGTTTCGGATGCTCCTGTGCCATGCAGTATGTATAGAACCATGCAGGAACTATGCTGGGAATTGGTCCGCCAAGGGAATAGAATGCAATAGGGTCGACGAATAACCTTCCTAGCGGAATTCTGGGCCCGCGATCAGAATCTCCCTAGGGAATATGATATCAGCGCCCGACAAATAGTTGTCTCAAGCCTGGGTCGTCGCAATAACGGAGGTCTATCGATTTGACCTGCAGAGTGTATGCTAAAGTATATTCAACCTATAGTAGGCTGTGTAACGCTCGCTGCCAAGGGATCTTCAGCATGGATATTCCCCGCATGATACCGTACATCCTGTATGTACGACCGTCTATCTGATCTCATCTGTATGTCCCGGCTCTCGTTAATGCAAGAATGCCAACCTCCTTGCGTGATGGAAGTCTGCCAGGCTGCGTCCCACAGGACTGGGAATAGAATGGCACATCGACCCTGCAGACTTGTTCATTGGAATGCTTGGGACCGTGTAAACGAGCTCTGCGACGTCATCGGAAGGTGCTCCCGACATACAGAGGCATACATGCACGCCTACTCAACCTCATACATACAGCACCCCATACGTCCCGGCCAAGCCAGGCAATGCAAGGCGAATCATCCCCCTCGGAAAAAAGCTGCTCCAAACCCTCCTAGAAGGCAGCAGGGACCTACGGGTGCATACACCATACAGTCCCCCGAAACGAGTTTCCGATCGACATCAGCGCGCTGATCGCTATCTGCCTACGACCAAATGCCTAAGCGGGCGATACCGCCGACGCCCCCATGATGTCAAAGTGTTCTATATTCAGTATACTTCGAGACATACGTAGGCCCTTTGTACACGCTGTTCAGATCCAAGACAATGGCAGTAGATGATTGATGGATGAATTGGAAAGACAATGATCCAACCCAGCCACCAGTTCAGGCAACACAGATTGTTGAACGTTCACTTGTAGTTGACAGGCAGTGATCGACAATGCGTCAGGGGCTGTGATGAACTTATTTCTTCACCGCCAAGAGGTGAAGTGTTCGTTCGCAGTGAACTGTATGGGGTCAAGAAGCCCGCATTGAGGGGTAATGCTCTGATGCATTCCGTGAGTTCATCACAAGAGATGAGTTGTCTCTAAAACACAGGGGTGTGTGTGTCGATTGTGACGACCCAACCACCTAGAAAATGAAGCAATCCATTGACCCCGCCAAGCAAATGATGTGCAGTATCAGCAAGGCTGGTTCTTGGCGGATTTCCCCCTTGGGGCAGGTTCAGTCTCTCAATAGCCCAAACTGCATCGTCAAATGGATCTCAATCCGACGATAAGGGAGAAACCGAAATGAAATCAATTACCTTGCAAATGACATAACAAGAATAATCAGACCACTATCGCTACACCTACCTCAAAGCCTCGCCGACTACTCAGCTTGGCAAGCAACGTTAGTGCGTCGTTTTCGACATCTCCCCCATGGAGTACTCCATATTTTTGCCCCCTACCCCTATAATATAACTCACATAATAATAATAATAATAATAATAATAATAATAGTAATAAGACCACAACCACCAAATAATGAACAAATAAATCAAAATTAATGAGTAGGATTATCCACCCCAAACCAACCTCATGATTCCACGTAGGAGAAGACGATGATGAACAATTCCCATTCCTCCCCCAACCATCTGACTTTTCTCCTGAAATTCCAATCCCGCCAAGGCCCAAAAAAAAAAAAAAAAAAAAAAAGACCCATGCATTCCTCTACAAACAACTATCGTTTCTTGGCAATTTCTCCTCCCCGAATTGAAGGGATACGCACTGCCCCCTCTCTCTCTCTCTCTCTCTCTCCAGACCAGACAAGAAAATACAAGAAAATAGACCCGAAAATCAGTAGATAGTAACAGCGATAGTAGTCTCCGCCAAGGGAAAAAAAAAAAAAAAGTTATCGTGTGTCGTGTCATTGATCGACGAGGGAGGCGGAGTTTCAATGTATGTTATACGTAGTATGTTATGTAGTTTGTTTTGCTTGATAAGATGAGTCTTTGTTTTTTATTTTTTACCTTTTTTTTCTTTGGCGCATTTTTGAGTTGAGTTGGGATTGTTGGGGGGGATGGGTTCGGGCGATTATTGTTTTTTTTATTTTTTTTTTTTTATTGGGATATAGTTTCCTTTATTTTATTTTATTTGTTGTATTTTATTCTTATTTTTTATGTTTTTTGAGGATAGGTAGGTAGAGAGGAAGAGAGGTTGATAGGATAGGATAGGTAGAGAAATTGAGGGATCTAGATCGGGGCTGTTTGTTTGCCCTGTTCAGTTCCGCCGTGGCTTGTCTTGGAAGATGGGGGATCTAGATTTGACATATCCATTCTATCTTGGATCCTACATAACTACACAGTACATAGTACACAGTATACAGTAGTAAGTACGTAGTTCTCCTACCCAACCCATACCATTAAACATGGAGTACAGGTATACAACATATCAAACCCAGGAGAAACACAACCACCTCCTTCCTCCACAATAGATAGTAAAACAAGTAGAACTAAGAAAGGGGATGAAATTACATCATCATCATCATCATCATCATCATCATCATCTGACAATCTCTTTCAATCAATCAATCAATCAATCAGTCTTGATTGACTTCTGCAATGCCACCACCGTTTTCAACGCCCCGGTCCACTTTGCATTTCTGCCTAGTTTGGCCGTGGTATTTCTTGGCTACTGGGGGGGAAAAGAGGGGGAGAAAAGTCGGCTGCGGTATGTTTGAAACAGGGTGTGTGTTTGGGTTGAATGCGGCGGGTATTTGGGTCGCGTTTGAGAATGTAGGTTTGGATGGGTGTGTGATGTTAGTGTGGGAGGGTTTGGGGTTTGGTTTCAGGTGGAGGTATGTATGTGGTTGGTGTTGGTTGTAGCTTGTAAAGAGTGAGTGGTTTGGGTGTGGTGTTTGTTGGAGGTAGGTGATTTTATCTTGTAGTGTAGTGGGTTGGTGTAGGTAGTGGCCAGTATGGAGTGATGCGTGGGATTGTTAATTTTATATATATGTCTGTATTGTTTCGGTTCTATTATATGTAGTTTAGATGTGTCTGGTGTTTTGTGGTGCTGTGAGTGTGAGTGGAATATATATTTGTTGTTTCGATATGTATATAGATATTAGTTTCGGATGAACAGCATGACATATATATATATATATACCTGCATAATAAGAGCTGTGTGATGTTAGTTAAAACATATATATAACTTATTTGTATCAATATATCAAACATTGTCAGTGGCTGGCTTGATCTCTACCTACCTACCTGCTGGCTTTGGTCAATTGTGCAATGTGAAGTTTAGGCAATATATCGAGATACGAAGGTCCCTTTTCATGTCTAGGATACTCGTAAAGATGAGTATTTGATATCCATAGTGCCGTTCTGTAGACGAGGACACAATTGGGACAATGATAGTCATATTCATCAGGTGCAATATCGATATGTGTGTGTATGTGTATAGAACCACCTTCCGACAGTGAGAAGTTCTGTCCAACCTGTGGTTTTGTGTGAGAATATATATCTCCTGCAATTGAACTGAATCTCGATTGATAGGTTTGCCATCTAGTAGAAAACACCGTAGAGCAGTAGAGGACAAGTTATGTAGAAGCAGGATGTCCCTTCTGTAGAGAAGAATATCCCAATGAAAGCCCAGGGACAAGGCGGCCTATGATATACTGCAACACGCAAGAAATGCCACTAGAAAGAAATCCTCGCACCCACAGTGCAAGGTACCAGACTCCCAGGCATATGTTTCTCAATCGCAAACTTAGCCCTCCAACCAGAGCAATGCCCCGGCAGCAGAACAGCAGGGTCTAGTCTCTGAAGGTCTTTGACAGTACTTTCCGTGTCGGCTGCAGTGCTAGTAGCAAGATGAAAGCCCCCAACAACCGCATAAAGAGGAACAGAGCCATCGAGGCTTTCAACCGCATGTCGAGAGCAATTGACGACACCTGCATGACTGCAGCCTGTGAACAGGACGACTCCTTTGCCTGGAAAGGTAACGCGTTAGAGACCACCCAGAGTAGAAGACCATAAGGATGATTCATTGGAAGCATACCCTTAAGATTACACATGAGAAAACGCTCGTCGGAAATAAGCTCATCAGAAAACCAATCCTTTTCCTCCTTGTCAAAGCGCATACCTCCTTTGACACCGTTTTCATACGCCGTCTGGCGGGGGATTTCGCCAGAGACCAGAAAGAAGTTGTCAAGCACAGTGTGTGCCTCATCATGCTTTTGGATGGCTCCCCCAGCTGCTTCGAGTTCCTCGAAGGTAGGATCCGCCTGAAGGGAAACGATGCTTGGACCCAGGGCAAGTCCGCGATAGTCGGGACGGTCAGGATGAAGATCTACTGACACTTTGTCTGTATGACCCTTGGCTTTTTTGGCCTCGGTTATCAATTCAATGGCTCGGGAAAGGCCGCCTGGGTTCTGTTAGCAGAGTTACATGAGAGAAAATCCATGAAGAATCAGTGAAACATAAGCTGTGCATACCGGAATGGTCCCGATGCCAATGGGATAATTGAACTAGCTCAACAGAAGACAGATCCGGCCGTAACCGCTTGACATTCCTCTCCCATATCTCGCCTTCAGGACCTGCATCGAACAGAACTGAGTGCTTTACATCGCCTTTTGTAGCTGTCTAGAGACAATCAGTATATATTGCCATCGATTCTTCCGGACGAAATGGAACATACCACAAGGATGGACAGTCCATGCGCCGAACAGCAAATGTCTTCCATCTGCAATTCCTTTTTGGCTTCACCTCGGTCATCTACTTCATGTGTTGAGTGTAGAGCAAGAGAACCCATCAGACCCGATACCTGGACGGTGTCCGGGGCAGGTGGGGAGAGGGGATCCAGCTCATTGTCGATGATAACAAGGGCTTCGAGAGAATCGACTTCTACGAGGCTTAGACTAGACATGTCTGTGACGTATCAACATGGGTCGAAGAGGACTCCCTTTTCTCTACTTCGTGAGGGGGTCGTGTGTTTTCTGTTACTATGAGCGGAAGGATTTAATGGAAACGTCAAATGCGGGGACGGAGGATAATTGTTCTTCCTTAGCCCTAAGATGACTACACTCATTACAGGGCGTGATAAATGTCGCTTTTTGGTTTGATTATCTACATATTGAAAAGACTGGGATATTCTACTTGTAGGCATCGGTTATCTCTGATGATCTAGGTGTATTCTGTTAGCTGGTTATAGATGTATGCGTGTCAACAGAGCAAGATGCATCGCAGGGAGATCTAGACCATTGTTATGACCCTCCTTAGCAATAGCAAGTACATGGTATATAACGAAGACATGTTATATAGCAAAGATATGACCAACTTCCATTCAATTTCCGTACAATTTCCATCAAACCGTTTATACTATCACTTGCTCTCATTGTTTGACCCAACCGACCCATCCACAATTAGGGGTCCCTCCCAGGTGGTGGCGGCCGAGTGCTGCTGATGCTCAAGCTGGCCCTCACTAGATGCCTGTTGGTCCTCATCAATAGCCTGTTCCAAAACCGGAACGTTACTGGCCTCCGCCTGCACAGGGTAGCTCTGCGCCTCCCAATTATGCGGATATGGGGCCACCGGGTAATTGTTATATCCCATCTGCTCGGAATAGTTCTGCTGCCCCCAAACGGGTGGATAAGGGCCAGGGGCACCAGCCATATAAGGGTTCATATAAGAACCAGAGGTGGGTTCGCTCGGAGTGGCCTGCTGGTACAGATACCCCTGTGGTGGCATCTGAAGGTAGTGCATCGGGGGAATAGGCATCGGGGGACACGGCACCGGAGGATATGCCACCTGAGTGTAGGGCACCTGAGGATAAAGCATCGGGGGGTATGCCACCTGGGAATAGGGCGCCTGGGGATGTACCATCTGTGCTATCTGTGCTATCTGTGCTGTCTGTGGCGCCTGGGACCCACTGGCAGGCTGATTCCCTAAATAACATATTAGCATATTGAAGCAAGTCCTTCATAGACAATTATGAGTACTTACTATTCCCGACTGCCATCTCAACCCTCAGAGGGCGGCCGTGCAGCTGTCGCTTCTCCATGCTGAGAGCTGCTTGGGCATGTCCAGGACGCTGTAGAGTGTTAGTTTCATGCTGCAGGCAGCTTGAAAGAAGCATATGATAGATGACTTACTTCGTACTGGACGAACGCCCCAGGCAGTTGCCGGCCTAGCTTGGTTCTGCTGTACTTGAGCGCCACATAACAGGATCCGTGCTTCTTGAATGCTTCATGCAAATCATGCATGAGCGTTTGTTGCTCGACGGTGACCGAAAGACTGAGAGTATGTTAGCATTCTATCAACATCGACGAGCAAGAGGAGTGATACATACTTTCCAACGAAGAGCCGGGCAGTCAGGCCATGACGTTGTTGGACCTCATCGAATGTGATTTGAGGTTCATTCTCAAGTGGAGGGTAAAACTCGTTGATCGGACGGTTAGGGTGGGGAGGCTGAGGGTAGATGTTCGTTTGTTGGATATTGTTGTTGTTATTGATGTTGTTGTTGATGTTGACGTTGTTGATGTAGGGAGCCATCTTGATGGATGTCTTATAGTTGATTGATATGGTATAGAAGATATGACTATGGAAAGAATATTTGTATAGTTTGGTGATAGGTGGGTGTGTATGGTGATGGATGGGTATGTATGAGTGGAGTAGAGAAGAGAATAGGGAAACAGAAAGAAAAGATCACTCGTCTGGCTTACAAACGTGCACTCAGGAACTCACAGTTAGCTCAGAATTTGATAATCATTTTCTTTTCTTTAATTTATGGATTGATCTGTGTAGGCTTCTATGAAAACCTAGGAACATAATCAAATCCACGGTCCAGTTATGGGGAGAGGCTCCCCATGGCCCGCTACCATGGCTACTAGATAGAATAAACGAGAGTAGGGGATACTAGAGAAGAGGCTATGCATCCGTTGGGTATTCCGAATCGGCTTGAGAGAGCTGCTGGTTTAACGGCGAGTTTAACGGCGGCTTTCATAGTCATGACGAGATGCTAACGACTCTTTGCAGAACTCTATACCACCTAGTAATGCCTAGCACATACAAGTAGTACATAAACAGCACAAGAAACAGAATGGCTCAACATTTGGGATAGTTTGGTAATGTTTCAGGCAGACCTTGGAGAAATTTTTACATAAACGGGAACCCTAACTCGCTGGAGGAGGGACCAAGGGCGTTACACTTCAGCCTCAAGTGTTGAGGCTATCACTCGATTCAATAAAAATAACTAATAATGCTGTGTGAATAAAAAAAAGGCGATATTACGGTTCATTGGCTCCACAACTTAACTGCATTTATTTCAAACTTCTACATTGACCTTAGAAACGCCCACCTCAACGTAGTCAAGGAACTCCTGGACCAAGGAACCAAAGCTTGTTTCTCCCATACTACTGCCAGAGATGCAAGAAGAGCCGCAGGCCAGGGTCGACCTGTCTTAGAGAAACCTGGGGTCTGAAAGCTAGACTTGCCCATTTGTTATCCTCTCGACCATTCCCAAGTCTCTGTTTTTCAAAATTCTCTAAGGTACACTTCTGGCCGACCAATAATAAATGGAATAAAATACCATTCATATTTATTACTGGGAACCCACAGCAGTTTTTGATTATGATGACTATTGTATGTTATCCTATCCGGACGTCATCACTGATTTTTACTGGGGATAAAAGCACAAGGACAATATTTCACATTAAAGGTGGGCGCCACTGATACTTCCATGTAACGCTATTGAGTCAGGACATAATTACTAGTATTGAAAAGCTCGTTTTTGATAAACTCCCATGGATGTCGTTGTTCTGAAGTTGTATAGATGGGTTTCCCGATTGGGATGATTTAGGGCTGAATTTGGCTCGGCGTCTATACTGGTGCTTTCACGCAGTTGAACGATGCCTAGGTGAAGATATGCTGCTCTACAAACAGTTCGGACTTTTTTTGCATAGCATGTAAATGCACTATTAATATGTAAGTCATTTTTTCAACTCCTACTTTTAGAAGTATACTATCTAGTTCCCAAATAACACCTCTAATTTAGCGTAAATAAAGTTGACTTGGAGTACCACACGATCTGTTGGTCGCGCCGCGGGTCTCCCACAAAGTCGTCTTATGCCTACAGCAAGAGTTTAAAAAGGCAAATGGAGGTCTGTCATGTACGGGTAAAGATGATGGCATCACGAACCCGATGGCTACCTAGTAAAATACTCTTTAAAGTGTTTGATACTCGTAACGACGCATTTAATTTCTTTAATGCAAATCCTTGAGCCTGAAGGCGGTGAGCGGGGATTCAGTTTATCAATCAGTTCGAACTCACGCGACGTCATTTCAATCGTCCCCGAATTCCGAGTTTCTTCCCTGCCGACCATTTTATTTGGACTTTGAACTACCAAGTCTCTCCTTGAAAACGGTCATACCAATCGCACCATGTTTCCCACGGCAAGGTGCTTCGCTGCGAAGCCCGCAGGGTTCTTCAAGCGCAGCGCAGACGAACTGGGCCGCCTGTCAAAAATCGGTACTTAAATCCCCCCATTTCCTACGGTCGGACCCCCGATTTGCTCTTGCGATCGATCTGCTAATACCTTGGTTCTAGCCTGGAACTCGGAAGCCTTACATACCCCAACGAAACCCTACGTCCTCCTCGACTTCGAAGATGATTCCACTGTCGCCGGATGCAAGACAATGGCCGACCGCGCCGTCGGAGGATTCAGCACTGCCAGTTTAGACTACGTCCCTGCCGACCCAGCGACTCATTCGCCCGCACACGCTCGATTCCACGGAAGTATCTCGACGAAGCTACCCAATAACTGGCGCGTAGAACGGACGGGTACGATGACCTTTTCCCTCCCCCCCCCGCCCCCGGAATCCAACTCTGCGTGTAAACAAGAAATTGACAACAGAGCGATGAAAAAATAGGATACGCGGCTTTCCGTAACAAAGACCGGGGCCTGTGGCTCTTTGGACGACTTTTCTGGGATATGGATCCCTATTCTTACCTCGCTTTGCGCGTTAAGTCCGACGGACGTAGGTACACTGTGAATATTCAGACGGATTCGATCGTCGAGACGGATATCCACCAGCACCGACTGTATACTCGGCATCATAGGGTTCAGGAGGCTTCGGATGAGTACCTCTCGTCGCATGCGGCTGATGAGGCGGCGGAGTCGTCGGAGTTGGAGGAGGAGGACGTGTATCCAAGCCGCATGCCGGCTTCTCTTTCTGATGTTCCGCCAGAATCGACTATCATGTCGACGTCGACCAGTACGGAGACAGCGGGAACGACGGGTTGGGAGACGATCTTGTTACCGCTTAACGCGTTCGTGCGGACGAACCATGGATTGGTGGTTGAGCCACAGACGTCTATCCTGCGGCAGCGGGTGAAGAGTATCGGTATTGGACTTACAGATCGGGTGGAGGGTCCATATGATCTGCGGATCCATAAGATCTGGGCTACGAATGGTATGAGTGAGGCGGAGATCGAGGAGGAGAGACGTATCTGTGGCGCGGATGCGTTGCCTCTGGACGAGGGCGTCCGGACTGGCTGGACGCAGGGGTCTGCGCAACAGCATGCGAGTCAAGCGGAGGCGCCAAAAGCGAAGAAGGGATTGAAGGCGTTGCGTTCCGAGTGGGATCAGTGAATGGATATTAGGTTTAATTTGTATAGTAATTTCTATTTTTAGGTCTCTATACCAGTTTTCAACTTGACCAGTAAAGATTTCCAGACATTTTACAATTGAGCGTTATATATACGACATTTTCGTTTTGGCATATACCATCTCCCTGACTAGACTATAGCAGCCTTAGTTACCACCAGTGATCCGCTCCCACGCCTCACGGTATTTAGCGCTCGTCTTCTGCGCAATGTCGTCGGTCATGCGTACACCAGGCTTGCCCTTCAGTCCCTCGCTCGTCAACCAGTCACGCAAGAACTGCTTATCGAAGCTCTGCTGTCCACGACCAATCTCGTACGAGTCCTTAGGCCAGAAACGCGACGAATCAGGAGTGAGGACCTCATCGGCCAGCACAACCTCGTTAGTCTCAGGATCCAAACCGAACTCGAACTTCGTGTCGGCAATGATCACACCGCGAGTAAGGGCGTACTCGTGAGCGACCTTGTAAAGCTGAATCGCAAGAGAGGCGATCTGAGAGGCATATGGTTCACCGACAATAGCAACAGCTACAGAAACAAATGATTAGCCAATAATCCATGACCGCGGTGAAAAAAGAAAAAGGTAAAACAAGTTCAATCAACCAATGCCTCCGAAATCGGAACCTGGGAAGAAGTGGGGATATCGATAGACATACCCTGATCGGGATGGATGTTCTCATCATGCTCGCCCTGCTCCGCCTTGGTGCTGGGGGTGTAGATAGGACCATCGGGGAAAGCCTCGCTCTCCCGCAGACCCTCGGCGACCTTGATCCCGTGCACCGTGCCGGATTTCTTGTACTCGTTCCAGGCGGAGCCGGTGATGTAACCACGGACGATGGCCTCAATGGGGAGGATCTTCAGCTTGCGCACCTGCATACTTCTGTTCTGGAGGACAGGACGCAGCGACTCGGGGATCTGAGGCGGGAGGTCGAGGGTGAGGAAGTGGGTGCGGAGGGAGGGAATGGCATCGGAGAGGATCTTGAACCAGGTTTTCGTGCACAGGGTTAGGAGGATGCCTTTTTCGGGGATTCCCTTTCATTGTTATGTTAGTGGTACTCTTGAAAATTGAGGGAAATAGAGAGAGAGAGAGAGAGAAGTGAACAGGGAGAGGGGAGTGGTACATTCTCCATGATCACATCGTACGCGGAGATGCGGTCCGTTGCGACGAAGAGGAGGGTCTTCTCGTCGACATCGTACAGGTCGCGAACCTTGCCTCGAGCGATAAGAGGGAGGGCACCCTGAAGGTCGGTGTTTGTCAGAGCTTCAGACATGGTGGAATGTTGTGGAATTGAGGGTATGAAGAGGGAACTGTCTAGAGATGATGTCGAGTCATAAAAAGTTGGGGACGATAATCGATAAGCGGGTCACTTTTTTTGCGGCGGGGTTTCCGGCCTGAGGCAGGCCACCCCCGCCATATCAGAGAACTCTACCATCTATTCGTGAAGAAGGGGTATAATCGAGCGATTTTAAGTGGGAAGTGAATATGATCTATTTGTAAATTAAGCTTAAAGTAATACATCGCTCCCGACTCGTGGCTCACTGGTATCTTCTGTCCAGCTCACACAGCCTTCGTCGATGGAGATAGTAGAAGTTGCTAGTCTACAAATAGAGCCTGGCGAGCCTGGACGAACTCTTGTCTCTCCTTAGCCCATTCTGGTCTCACAGAAGATAATGGAGAAGGCTGTTCGGCACCAGGGAGGAGCATATCGGGATCGATTGTGCGAATTTTGGTACCACGAGGTAGTCGATGAGAATCTTCTGCATGCGGCCCTGCTTCGATGTGTTTGATCGTCTCCAATCCTTTAGCGTCAACTTTACTTTTCAGGAGCTCCCAGAATTCACGATCCGATAGACTCCATAGGACCTCTTCCTTCAATAATCCTCGTTGTACCAGATTCCCAATCAACTGACCTATCTTCCTGGACATGACGGCATGAGCCGGGTTGCACCACACATCCCTATCGCATTCGCCATAGGCCCTAGAATAAGCCAAGGCCAGATCAATGTCTTGAAGGACCAGCAAGCGATGTGGTGAAGACGCGTCCGGGAATGCTGTCACCGAGTCATACACGCGGCGCGCATCCTCTATCGCAAGCTTGCCGAAAGCGACTGCGCCTCGTAGAGAGTAATCGAGACGATCAGCGCAGAGGTGAGGAGCGGGACTCTCTACTAAAGGATAAAGCTCTTCATCGAACGGCTTTAGATCAACGAAGCCATGTTTGGTAAGTATCTGTGGCAGCTCAGTGGTCATGATATACCGTGACTTTTGGACCTCATGATAGCTCTCTCCGGGCTTTGACAAGGCTCCATCGACGTCATGGCTGAGTACTGTGTGGCTGATATCATGCAGAAGACCTGCAACTTGCTCTCCAACGCTAGCACCAACTTTGCGTACTAATAGCGACGCGCCTATGGAGTGCTCTAGTCGAGTCACTGTCTGGGTGATACCCAGCAGATCGGTTTGGCCGTGGAGACCGATGCCCGCGAGTCGGAGCAGCGCTGGACACCGCAGCAGCTCGGCTAGAACCGGCTCGGAAATGATGTGCTCCCCGTAGATTTTGTCCTGTATAACAACCGTATTGTCAGGGTGAAAAGTAAGGGTTTGGAAGGAACCCGCACTCAAAGAGGAAGACATCGTGTGGTGGAAGTCGAATATTTGTTTGTTTGGGGATACGTAAATGAAATGTTGGTCGATTTAGTTGGTCTTCTTAAGCTTGTCTGTTAGCGCATTCCTCTGCTTGGCTCTTTTGCCCAATGTTCGTTTCTCTTACTTCTGAACCCCGCATTCAAATCTCTGGGTGCGTCAGATTGATTTCCAACTCTTGAGGACTACTAGTTCCAAGGTTGAGTAACTGACCATTAACCGTGGAATGAGACAAGATTAGGTGTACGCTGGTACCTGAGGAGTGTTTATTGAAATTAACCAATAAAGGTGCAGATTATAGAAGGGACCAAGTTGATTGACAATCAGGTAGGAGAATAATCCCATTTATATAGGTGAGCCTGGTACCCATAACGTGACTCTCTTTAGAAATCACCTGGTACAGAATTCAAGTTAGATCATGACACCATAGCATCAAACAAGATAAGCATCTAGGACTTCCTCCAACTTGACGAGGTCTGTATCAGTAGCAATTCGAGGCAAGGGGTCAAAGAAAGAAAAAAACATTGCTATGACGTTGACGATAGCTAAAAAATAAATATAGCCCGTGGGTAAGGGCGAGAAGCATCACTGCCGAGAATAAAGACGAGATGACAGTCAATGCAGTCGACCTAAAATGGTCAGGATGCTCGGTAACACAACGCACAAGCATAAGACCAGAAGTGGCAATTAACTACGTAACAGCTTTTCGATAAGAGAGCGTCAGGAGTCCCTTACTGGGAGGATACGTAGTGGAGTCTTCCGTACTCTTATTTCATTGTCCACACCTTGAGGGAGAAAGAGCGTACGGCCAAGACGCAGCGATTGTCAACACTAGAGATGGACTGCTTCATCTATCCCACAAGCATGTTACCTGTGGTATTTTTATTGACACAGTAAGCCACGTAGCTTTTTCGTCGTCTTTTTCTCTTTGTTTTTCTCTGAACAAAGGTCAAACATAGCCAAAGAGGAGCCAAGCATCCAGCCCTAACTCTTGCAACATCCTTACAGAGACCCACCGCAACGGCTAGGGCTATCTTGTTAGTTCACAGAAAGGACCAATGACTATTAGCTGTAACTGAAAATAAGCTGAGTATCTAGCGGGTTAAAAGCTTGTCAGTCTTGACTTTCACTTGGCCCTTATCCTACTTGTCTCTATAGACTAGCAGGGAGTTGAATCCGTGTCCCTTTCAATTCAGTATCTCCAATCCGAGACAAACAACTCAAAGAGACTAACGTCAATAAGAGAAGAAGGCAAAACAAAGATTTTCTAATAACCAAGAGTGGGATAATGACGGACTACACTCCATTCATGAGCACTGTCGATGGTGTCGCCATTCCTGCCATGACCTGGTTGAATACGCTAAGTCATTTGAAAGAATGCATACGAATAAGAGCATCATCTGTTGGTCACCTAGAATGTTCAATTTAGTCATGGAAAAGAATCATTGGGCTTTGAATGTTTAAGTCCAGCCCGTGTTATGTTTCCCTGGTAACTCCTCGAGAAGTATTCAAACAAAGTCGTAGCAAACGCTCATAAAAACACATCTCATTAATCATATCATGTAGAAGCCGATAGCAGTATATTAAATAAACATAGACACATGTCTTTTTCATAGCCAGGGCGTTTTCATCACACCCTTCGTCATTTCCTGGACCATCAACCTGCTCAACAGTGGTTGGTAGACTTGCACCACCCCACACATATAGCCACGATGATAGCGATTATAAGAACTTCATCCACGATCAGTAAAGCCAATCTAGCCAAAGTCCAATGGGTAAACCTGTATACTTACTGCAAACAAGCAGAATATACCACTTATATCTCCTCGCATTACGAGCACTTATAATGGCATGGCCGATCTTTTCGTTGCCCTTCTCATAGTTCAATCGCGTTTCCTCCGCGTTTTCTTCGATTTTCTCAACTATTGGCTCGTGCGAGCGAACAAGCTCGGCTACTTCCTGAGAAAGCTCGCTAAGGGCCATCAGATCCTGTTCAATCTTGCGGATGGCAGCTGATCGCTCCAGGACAGCAGCCTGTGCATCTTTCGCCTGTCGAGTTCGAGCCCCTTGCACCTGTGACCAATTAGCTCATTATATTCCCATAAGTCCATAGCCCTTGGGACTTTTAAACTAGAATAGAATTAAAAA